CAGGATGCTCCCCCTCTGCAGCCATCAGGCGTCCCTCCTGTCCCAGACCTTCCACCGGCGCCCAGTGGCCCCATCACGGCTGGGGTTTCTCTTTCAGCACCTTGTTTGCCCCCACCTGTTTCTTGGCCCTGGTTGTGTTTGTGGTACCCTGGGGGTCCAGGTCTCTCTTCCCACGCTGGGCTCTCCCCTAGCTCATGGCCACCTGCTTCGGGGCTTCATCTATTCCCATATGTCTCCTGACAAAACCTAAAGAGAACAGAAGTCTTTGGGCTTGGCTTTTGGTCCCTAATTTCTGCTTCAGCCAAGTTTGCATGGCTTGGCACTCCAGGGTTAAATGGTCACATAAGGAATTCCCGTTCCTGTTGTACCAAATATTGTATTTATCGGTTAGTCCAAAGGTGAACAAGTCGCTCTGTCAACTTCATTGCCACACTGCCCGGTTCTTTGCATGCAAAATAGTCTCATGTTTTTGTTGTCATGGGGAATTCCTTGCCTGTGAACTACAACGGTCTTTACTTTTACCTAGTGTGAGAAGGGCCAGTGTATATAACTTAATTGGATGAGTCACATCAATACACAAATCTAGCCCGTATCTCAAGTGCAAAAGCAGTAAGAGTGACAGGCTAACGTACAGCTTCAGGAAACATCTACATGCTTGGGCTTTGAGTGAGTATCCGAGCTCACTCACTGCGTTATGTAAAGGCACGCGGTTGCACAACTTGGTCCTCAGTGTTCCTGATCTCACACCCATCCGTGTGTACAGAGCGGCTGAACAGCTCTCCTCAAAAACAGCTCATTGGTGCTCTAAAAGCAGAGATCGGTGGGTGATCCGGGCTGTGTTAAAGAGAGCACCGTAGTCTGTTTACATCTATTTCTCAAGTTTCATCCCGCAGACAAAATATGCCGGGTCAAACCAGAAAGCATGCTCATTGCAGCCCCGCTTCCCTGCCAAAATGAATTTTCTTCTCGCTGATGCAAGAGGTCAACACGCTGGGGCTCTCATGCTTTCTGGGTCAATAGGATTTTATTCTGAGCATTCGTTCCCACTGCTAAAGAAAAAAAGGAAGCAGAGATTTCAGATGCCTATCCCAGCAGCTGGAGCCTGCCTGAAGGTCCTAGAGAAAAGAAACACAATCTCAGGGCCAGGTGTGGTGCCAGGCTTCCCTGGAGGGGAACAGACCCATCGTCCACATCTGCTTTTCAGGAGCCGCGCTCACCCGCAAGGCTGAGCTCTTTGCAGTCGCTCCGGGCTAGCATGAGGGCACTTCCATACCCTGCAGGCACCACCTAAAATCATTTCTGACATCTGAAATAATTCATTCTCTAAACTCACCTTTTACTGCCTTCTAGGTTTAATATATTAATACATTGGGAAAAAATACTGCAGGCATAAACCAGATGAACCAGGGGTTGAAGGAAGGGAAAATGAGAAACAATAGACTAACTTTTTAGGGTAAGGAAAAAAATGTGTATGCTCTGGGTTTCATCTCAGTTGTCAGAAGTGGAAGAGGTTTTTTTCTGCATTATTATTCTCCTTTGACATAATTTTTAATACAATGTGTGACTAAGACTGTAAGTCCTGCTATTCTGCTCTGCAGTTGAACTGAAATAAGGTTTCAATTTCTAAGTTTCTGATCATACCAAGATGGATTATTCCATTTGAAGTTCATGGAAAGAGAGTTAAGAGAGGCTTTTTGTTTGAGACTAGTGAAATTACAGTTATGAACTTCCTAGTGAGCTCCTGGGGAGCCCAAGACACTTCAAATCTTTGAAAAAGTTAGAACTTGGACAGGGGGGTTTATGACAAATTTGACTTTAGCAGAGGAAGAGGGACTCCTGCACTGGCAGACAGATGCTTTGCTCCAAATGGAGAAAACCCACACCAGTACCTACAGCACCGCAAGTGTGGGCTCAAGAGAGTTTGGTGCCTATTGAAACACTTCTCACTCCCTCCACACATTTTAAACCACAAGCTTTTGACGCCTCTAATATTCTACTCTTAGAGCTACTGGTCATAGCTGACTCTTAGCCTTATTCACCATACAGTAATAGGGGAGAAATATTTACGCATTTTCTATCAGAATGATGCCCTTGTGTTTTGAAGTACCTGCCAACGACAGACTGTTCCTGGTTTTCAGCAAAGAGAAGCAACAGGCCAGGAGCTATTTGATCCACACAGGTTTGGAGGAACCTCTCTCCTTCACCTGCTTTTTAAGAAATCCGAGATTAAAGGCAGCAAAGATCCAATACCCAACACCCATACCATAATTCGCTGTAGTAGCTCTTAACAGCACAACATATCTGGCAGAGTGCCGATAACAAAATGTACCAGTAGGAACAAAAATGGACTGATGTGCTGTCCACACACACACTGAGCTGCTCAAAAAAAGCTGTAGTTTTAACATTTAAATGAAAAAGACAGAATAACAAGCAAAACCTTGAATTTCCTGCTTGTGAGTTTTCCCACCAGGTTCCACACATCATCGAGCTGTTCCACACCTCTTCACAATAAAAGTGAAAATAAGACGTAAATGATCAAAATCAACTGGCCAAAAACAGTAGGTGCCAAATAGAGTTAAGTTTTATTTTTTATTGTCTAGTAACACTGTGATGCCATAAACTGTATAAAGCATGATAAAACACTTCCATAAAACAGAGTAGGTATATATTATAAAATGAAAAAATAAAACTATTATGTTAACAAAAGGAAAAAAAAAACCATTAAAAAGAAAATATTACAATAAAATAACGGTACCAGTTTCTTATGGTATTCCAAAATTTATTGAAAACATTTAAATTATGCAGCACTAAGATAAGTTATTTTTATTTTTCTCTCTTGATTTTAAACATGCACTAACTCAAACAGAAACAAAACCTATTGATCAATACAGAAAATGTTATTCATCACGTAACATTGCATGTAGATTTAAGGAGGGATGATGCAGTGGTTGTTAAAAGAAATGCATTATAATTACTTCCCTTCCCATGGGCTTACAGATTTTAGCAATTAAAAATAGCTCAATAATTCACAATAAAAGGAACAGCCACCAAATTAGCAATAAACTCTGACAAACGAGCAGTTATTGTTAAAAATGTCAGAAAACGATCAAACAAAAGATCAGCTACGCCTCAAATAGTCTCTGCACACAGCAACGGCATTCATGGCCACCATGACCTTTGCCCTTGCTAGGACCCCAACAGCCCCATCACAAAGATGGTGGGTGAACCCTGAAGCCTATTAACGTCAACAGAAATCTTGAGACCGAAATTCCACTCACAGCTCTTGAAGAGAAACACGCGTACCTTCTGACCATGATACTGCAAAGAATCGCACTGAAAACATGCTTTGTTTTCACCACGGTGATATTCCTAGTGAAAGGAAAGCTCTTCTTCTCCATCTGTTGTGGAGCATTGGACAAGCAACTCGCAGGGCAGCTGGGGATGTTTTTCCCCTCTCACCTCCGCAAACACCTTTGTACGTTCTTTTGCATTAACTCTCGGAGACAGCAACCTCACCTTGAACCAAACTATTCAGCCCCTACTCTCTTCTTCAAACTCTAGAAGAAAGCAGCTAAGGAACAACTGCCGGGACTGCCAGATGCATTTGCTGAGAGTTAATCCCACAACCGTTAAAAAAAATGAAACAAGCCAGCCAAGCGCCCTGAAAACATGTGACTCCTTGATCTTGCACACAGTGCAAGGTCATCAGTGACCTCATCAGTTCTTTTTCATCTATCCCATGTTACGCACTCACAAATGACGAGATTTCAAAGCAGGCTGGAAGTTTTCAGAGGCGTGACTGCATTTTTCTATGCCTTTGCAGAGTTATCTCAACACTTGTTCAGATGGTACTAAAATAATTTATGTCTATGCAACGTCTTTCATTATTCGATGTACTCAAAATATATTTTTAAAAATAGCCCTTAACATGTGAACTACTTCACATTCTTATCTAGGAACGTTTTATCTATCCCCAGTAAACATTGCTACTGTCCCTTTGCAGAAATGTGATGCTTTTAATCATGATCAAACTTAAAATCACTTTTAATTTAACTATGAACATTTTTGGTCAGAAATACATGAACTAACAATAATTTAACACACAGGTGCTACTAGCTCAAGAATTCAAGCAATGTAATTTTGTGGAAAAAAAGAGAAAGAAAAAATATAAGAGGTTGGATTTTTTGCCAAGTGGATACAAACATTCTTTAACAGGAGTAAAGTGGACTTCAGTTTTAGTGAAAATATTTGAGATTAAAAGATTCAAGAGCAGATCCTCCTTAGCATCAGTTACGAAAGCTCTACTGGCATTATATAACCAGCTGAGGATCCTACTTCTAATATCAAAGATGTATAAACTTCATTTCTTTGATACCTGTTTGTTATAAAAAGTTTGTTGTGTTTGGTTTTTTTTTTAAGAGACACCACTCATGCAAGAAAAGTGAAATTGGAAACACAGCTTGATAAAGGAGTTTTGGGAAGGCCAATAGAGTCAATGGTCATTAGTGAGCAAAGCCCCTTCCAGTATAAGAAATCAACCTTAACAGAGCTAGTAAGCAGCCAAGTAACTTAATATACCAGGCAGCTGGTGTTGCCTAGCAATAATTAGCAATTATTGACTTTTCAAACCAAAGTCAGAGGAAATCTTCTCATGGATACAAAGCGGAGTGGAATCTGGGCCCAAGCCCAGCCCAGCTATATATATTGTCTCTGTTATTAAAGTTTCATTCTATTGTGTTTCTAATTCCATCTCACATTTCAAGATATGCCCAGTTTACATCAATTAAAAATCAGACAATTGCCCCACTATGAGAAACCAGCATTTACAATTTTGTAAGACAAGAAAAAAAAAGACACTGAACCCAATGACCATAGTCAAAATAAACTAATTCCATGGTTTTAAAAAAAAAGGATATCAGCATATTGAAATGTTTTCAATCTTCTAGTTTAAAAAAAAGAAGTACAAAACTATATTGAAACTTGAGAATTCACAAGAAAATGTTTTCAGGAGTTTTGCACAGCCTTGTTCAGGAGCAGTGATGCTCTGATAATATCTTGTTGACTCCAGTTATAAAGACAGAACCAGTTTCTTGAAGGAGTGGGATCTACGACACATCCTCTACGTATGGTTGTTGTTAAGATTGCTCTTATTAAAGAATCTCCTTGCTTCAACACTGCTAAGAGACACGGAGCAGCGAGATGGATTCTCTTTCCTGTATTCAATGCTTTCCATCATAGCTTGCTTGATCACCTGGAAAACAGCAAACGACGTGCCATTCAGGGAAATAACTAACATTTTAATGATTTATGAACTGGCAGAAAAGACCCCTTCAGATGTTAACAACTGTTGCTCCTGCTTTTAACACGGTTCCATCACTGAACAAAGTGATTGCTGACTATTCTTAAAAATACTATTTCTTGATTGTATAGAACACTGATTTTAATGTAGTTAATAAAGATATGACAGGATACCACCAACGTCAAAGAAGTCACACAAGAATATACATCATGAAATTCTGAAGGGTATTCCAAAACATTGAGAAAATCCATACTGAAAGGATATAGAAAATAATTATTATCTTGAGAAAGATTAAATTGTCACTTTTGCTTCCTTTGTCCTGAAGGAACAAGATTTCTTTACTATATTGAGAAAAAAAATATTTTCTTTATCTGGGATGATCATTTACACTTGTGAATATGGCAAGTCACTCTAGGGATGCTGGGATCATGGTTCTGTGTTACAGCTAGTATCAATTAAAAGTAATTATTACTGAGTGAGTTAGTAAAGAAATTTCCAGAGACCTTTACAGAAAATTTCCAATTACCTTTTTTTCCCAGTTAGAAAATCATCATACATAAAGAACTGAGTATAAAATCCTGAATATAATGTCTACATCCTACAGAGTCACATTTGCTCAGTTACCCTGCAGGACTTTTGATGGTGTACTGGTTTTGGCTGGAGAGCATTAATTTTCTTCCTAGTAGCTGGTACAGTGCTGTGTTTTGGCTTTAGGATGAGAGTAATGTTGCAAACACACTGATGTTTTAGTTGTTGCTACGTAATGTTTTCTCCAAGTCAGGGACTTTTCAGTTTCCCATGCTCTGCTAGCAAGGAGGTGTACAAGAAGCGGGGAGGGAGCATGGCCAGAACAGCTGATCTGAATTAGCCAAAGGGATATTCTATACCATAGAACAGCATGCCCAGTATAGAAACTGGGGGGAGTTGGCCGGGAGGGGCTGACTGCTGCTCGGGGGCGGGCTGGGCATCGGTCAGCGGGTGGTGAGCAACTGCATTGTGCATCGCTTGTTTTCTTGGGGTTTATTCCTCTCTCTCTTTGTTATCTCCCTTTCCATTACCATTATTATTATTATTATTTTATTTCAATTATTAAACTGTTCTTATCTCAAACCACGGGGTTTACCTTCCAGTTTTCTTCCCCATCCCACTGGGGTGGGGGGGTGCAGGGGAGGAGTGAGTGAGTGGCTGCAGGTTACTTAATTGCTGGCTGGGGGTAAACCACGAACGATGGTAAAATGGAAAAAAGAACACAGGAACCAAATTAGAAAAGAATATGAATTGGAATGGATCCTAACAAGCACAGACTCAAACATTATGAAAAGCACACATACTACACTCCAATAGTTCTTCCATTTGGAAGATGGCCACAATATTAGATCAATCTTCTTAGCCCCAGAAATACTGTTTAGTCTTTTTTTTTTTCCACTTGAAAGCACCGCTGGCCTTTTCAGCAGCACATTTGCTTAGTGGTTTATTATCGAGAGTGGATCATATATGGTAATACTTCCTGCAACACTGATATTTCAGTACTTCAGAAATAGAAGTCAAGTGAAAAGACCAACTTCTCTTCACCTCACTGTGTACCTCATCCAACTCTCTTCAGGTAGTTCCAGCCACTGTGTTACCTACAGTGACTGGACTCTTCTTTCCTTCCCAGGCTGGAAGGATGCAAGTTGACCATGTCACAGTTTGTGCATGCTTCTGCACAAGCTCATGAAGAACTTAACTAGAGTATACTCAAGCCCTCATGAAAATAAGGAAGATTTTTTCCACTGACTATAATGGGCTTTGATCCAGCCTCAACTCTGAGAATAGGAATGGGCACAACTAAATGTAGGAAGCACTTTGTATGTCATAACAATCAAGCAAACACTGAAGTAAACTCGGTACCTTCTGTACGGCAGATTTAGGGCTTTATTCACATCACCTACTTCCCCATTCAACAATCTAGACCCTTTAAGCCCCTCCCACACTGGTGTACATACATCTATGTTATTGAGGGTGTTGAACTCCATTAGATCATGAAGCCTCTTGAAAGCCTCATTGGGATACTGGAAGTTGAAGGTAGAGAATGGTGTATTTGGATCATCAAAAATGTCAAAGTCTGCAAAATCCTTCTCTTCCTGTGTTTCTCTTGGAACACCTGCATATTGAACAAATACAAAAATACAACCTAAATGTTAGGTCTGAGGACTCACCGTCTTATTTTTTAATGGCTCCTTTGAAATCCTTAACTACTACAGACAGACTTCAGAGTTATTTCAGAGACAAAACATTTCCAGCATATAATCACCATGTCATTATAAAGTTTTGAAAGAAGAGCTAGATTTAGCATCAGAAACTGTGTGCTCACCTGGAGCTTTGTACTTTCGGAAGTTGATGTTAGCCAAAACAAAATGGATTATAGTTGGACAGTCCTTCTCCGAAGAGGTATCCTTTGGTTTGAAAACATAGCACTCCTTCATGCCCTCTCGATCAAATACATTTGGGTCTATTTTTGGGAAGGGAAGCTTGTTCATTTTGGCCCATTTTTCAGCAAGCAAAATTTCCTGAAAAGATAACAAAGATTCAGGTGCATATAAGCATCCACTGCAAAGTGAGATTTTATGTAGAGAGACACAGGTCAAATTGGTTACTAGATGCAGTTTTATTAAGTCACCCTTTTTTACGGCAGAAGGACTTATCAAGTCAATCTTTGCACAGATGACCCAGTATGGCAAACTGAGCACTTAATTCAGCCTGCCCAACCTTCACCACCTGCGATGATTCACAGGAAGGAAAGAGCTGGTCTGTCACATAAATCTTTGGGTGAATTTACAGAGCTGACAGCTAGAAAAAACCATCCGTAATTTTACTTGCAAACTGAGTATCAGTGCTATGGAAACCACTGAGAGTTAATAAACACCAGTCCACGTGTTGTTATGTTCAGAGTCACATCATACCACAGAGGAGCATTTGAAAGCATGCTAAGTGAAGAAGTCTGGAAACCAGGCTTTTTTTTCCTCGTGACAACTCAGTAAACAAAATAATTTGTAAATAATGACTCAAAAGCATGTAATGAGGGTGCGTGAGAGAGAAGAGAAGGAAGGTCAACATCTTTAATCTTGGTTTTGAATGAAATAGGACCCTTCTTTGGGCAACTGTTTTGGATACGCAAGAGATTAAAAGATAGTGAGTGTAAAATGATAAAACAGGAGTAGAGTCATTGACTTCAGCTGGCTGATTTCCCTACGTGTTGGAGAAATAAAAGTATATTAGAGGTCTACCACAGATACAGGCCAACTCTTGAATTGGCATTTACTCTTTGTAATGCAAACAGAACCAATGGGATTGCACAGCCAGTAAACAAAACTGGTTTCTGTCCTTTAGGCCATTAGCATAGAGCCTCTGCTTGTGGACTGTACCTGTGTATTAGCTGGAGCTACGTCACTCTTTTTATTATACACATATTTATGCTTCAGAAATAATGAACCATTCCCTTAAACAGCAGCTTCCTGAAAACCTAAGGCACTATTTAATTTTCCCACCATTTTTTTCCTGTGTAAAAGGATTTTGTCTTTTTAAAATTACAGTTTACAGAAAAACCTTCAGGATACCACTTGACTTCCAATCAATCTCTCCATGTTACAGAATGTTCCCCAAAACGACACAGAAAATTGCAGCTGATGGAGACAGAAAGCTCCATGCATAGGCTAAGAGTAACAGAGATGACTATACACAGCCTTTTGCATGGAGTCCGCGTCTAGAACATTAACAAAGGGAGGAAAAAGAAGATGTTTCAGAGGAGATGGCAGTGTTGTGTCAGTAAATTTAGCTGATCGGGAAAACAGTCATGGCAAAAAAAGGAGACAAATTCTTAAACAACCAGAAAATTAAAGGAAGAAGCAGACTGTGGGATTCAGTCAATTAAGGAAAAATGAAGGATCTCAGCACTAGTAAGAGTCTTCTCAGTGCTCTGTTCTTCCAAGCCGTTCCCAAGAGACCTAAAGATTACAGAAGTTACTCCTTTTTATTCTCCTGAAGCTTGTTTTTCTTTGCATTTGACAACACTGATCTAGAGTTCATTTTGCTACTGCTGTTATTTTCTAATGTTGTTTGGGGGTTTTGTCCCTTGAGAGTAAGAGGAAGGAAAAAAATACTCTGTCTGTAAAGCCACAAAGAATGTCAGCTGTTTCTCAGACAGGCATGTTTTCTTGATTTCCTGAAAAATAATTTTTTAAAATCCACTTGAGTTTCAAGTAAATATTGCCTCTTTTTTCAGAACCTCACAATAGTCTCATAAGCGTTGCTTTTTCTGTGTCAGCCACCAAAACGATTCAACATAAAGCCTTTCTGATCAGTTGGAGCTGTCTGGATGCGTAGGTTGTACAGGTCGTTTGACTGACAGCTGTGCTTTCTACACCTGCTACTGAAAACATCCAGGTAATTTAATCTGTATTTTTCTGTTGTTGCTTCACTCTGGCCTGAATGGATTTAGGAATCCTACTTAAATCAATACTGGGATTATTTTAGTGAGACGTAAATGAATAGTTAGCCCCACTTCCAAAATGTTATACATTTAGCAATACCAGAGTGACTGAGACACATTTCTGCAAGATGACGACAGCAAACCATTCATTGACATCACAGCGAGGAATAGCTGTACAGAGCTAGAGCACTAGCACAATGTAAATGTCTGACCTGTTTATTACTGACATAAAATAAAATTCTGCAATTCAGTGTGAAGGCAAGACTTCCATAAAAACAACAGAGCTACTACTTCAAACAAATTATATTAGCCTTCTTTATGTCAGTTGTCTCATGTGAGTCATGTAAACAGGAATTGAGGCAGAGTGCAATATTCTGCATTGACGTGGAAACAAATTGCTCCAATGCTGTCGATACAATAGTGCTAAGGCCTTCTGGATCCATGAAATGTGCAACCAACCTGACTGGAAGAATACAACTGAGTCAACTTAAATCTATGAACACAAAGAAAGGCACAGCCTATCTTACTTACTTTGAAAGGAGGACTGGAATCACTTGGCCTTGCTGAAAAGTCAAAAGAGATGATGAGATCAACGCCTCTTTGAGGTCTTAAGATAAGTGGGTATGGCAGGTTAAATGTAAGTCCACTATCCACTATATGAATCTTTTTGCTCTTCACATCTAGTGGCTCATATATTCTCTCAAACTCATCAGGATCTGCGCAGAACAAATGAAAAGAAAACAAAACAGGAACACACAAGTTAAGAACTGAAGTTTCCACAGAATTTAAAATGTACAGTGTCTCAGCTAAACATACCATGAACTCATCTGTAACCTTAACTCTCGTCTTAACAACTGGAGAACGAGGTGAAAAAAACAAAGCTAGAAGGGACTTCAGTAGGTCAAGTACACAAACATCCCGTCCCAGGGCAGAAGCAGAGGTGGTTCGAGGCAAAACTGAAGGGGACAAATGCCCAGGTTTGACCATAGTCTTCCCACCTTTACCCTGTCATCCCTAACAACCCATACACAAAGGGAAGTGTTTATGAGACATGAAGAGAGAGATTGTTGACATACTCCCTTCAGTATCCTACAGCCCCTGTCCAAGTCTCTTCCCCCAGGTTCTCTCTCAATCCCACGTCCTTCCCAGCTCCTCTTCCCCAAATAACTGAAATTTTCCTAAAAAGCCTTGGTGTGGCTCTGCTCTTGCACGATGCTTGTCTATGTCAGCTTCTGTCCATTAAAATTAGGACTATCAAGTCTTGTTTTTCAACTTACACCAAATATCACGATCTCACACTCACTACTATAGTAGGAACAAAAAAAAATGGTAACCCATATCCATATCTGAAATTTAAGCATTGGGCAGAATTACACATAAGACACTTACTGCTATTACTGTTATGATATAGTATAAAATAGTCTCCTATCTCTAATGCCCAAACTGAGGGCTGAAAAAGATGATGTTTCCCCTTTAACCCCAACATTCCCAAACCGAGAGCTGAAGAAGATGATATTTCTCCTTTAACTCCAATATTCTCTGGGTGCAGTTTAGGAAAAAATAAGCAATTTTTCCTAAGTGTTTTTGCACTTATCCAAGTCTCTGGATACTACTAAATGATCCCTGCGGTACTTAAAACTTCTCTCCTGACAGTCTTTTCTGGCTCTAGATCTTAAAAATATTTCCAGTGCATTTTTCTGCCTTTTGATTAAAAACTAATGCTCATATCTGTAGAGGGCAGTGTAATCTAAAAAATGCTGAATAGAATAATATAATAATTTATTGTACAATTAAATTTCCTAGCACCTACTTTTTGGTAATGGAAGTAGTCTGAAAAAGAGATATCTTAATGTGAAGAAAATCCATCAAAAATAATTCCAACTTTAGTTCCTAACATTTCAGGATCCATGAGAAAAATTTATTGTTATGAGTAGAAAAAAATTTCTGAACAGATATTTTTACTTTTTATTTCTGTTGTTATTTATTAGAGGGCACTTTGCTAAGAAGTGAGGAACCAGTTTCCTAATATTTACCTTGATTTCTATGGGAGAAAACACTTTCAAATCATTCCCTATTGTTAAAGGGCTAAGTGTGTTTATAGACCTACTTTAGAACCAGATATATTTCATAACGATGAATTAGCATAAGTCGATGAAAATATATTAGTGTTTATCAAATTCATCACAATTAAAAAAACACTGGTAAAAAAATACACTTACTACAGATTCCTTTAGCACAAGTAGACCGGTTGTGTGTTCCTCTTCCTTTTTTAAAGATGTTTCAAACATAATTTAACTCCTGTTCTCAACAGAATTTCCAAAAATTGGAGAAGAATTTTTGTGCAAGTTTTGTACTATCTTATTTTATAAAATTTGAATTTGAAAGTTAGTGGTGATCCTTTAAACAAGAATAGTACTATCTATAATAATGTTTGTGATAAGAGTGTTACTGCATACACAAACTTCCTACCAAAAACGCATTGAAGAACAAGACGATTCCTATTGCTTACAACCTGAATGACTCTATAATCAAATTCATCATAATAACTTTACAATATTTTAAATGATAAAACATCATAATGCCATCAATATATTTATAATGACCACATAGATTGTTTTTATTAGTCGTGGTCATCTGTGATTACAGGAGAAATTCAACTTACAGGTTTTTCTTTTTATTAGAATTCATTTTAGAAGTACATTTCTAATCTTTGAACTGAGAAGAAAAGTTCCAAAATGTAATCTGTGTCCAGATTATGAGGTCAGAATTCAAAAAGCAATGAAGATACTCCTGTGTTATTTTAATGACATGACTTTAAAGGCATGTAATTTGATTTGATTTACAGAGCCAGAGGCCAGAAGCAGCACAGAATACCCTGGTGAGATAAGGCAAGCTGTCAGACTGAACTGTGGGTCAGGACATTGCAGGTGAGCCTGCAATTGCTCCTGGGAGAGATGTAAAGTACACTAAATATCCCTGATGCCAGAAGAGGCATCGCCTACTCTATAACCTGTGCTGTACTTATTCTGAGGGGTTGGATAAGAAAGCTTTGTTCTTTTTATACTTTACAACACATGAACCCAGGACAACCGTTCTATATACTCTAGCTACCCCATTCATCAAACAGTATGAAGACTGAATGGAGTATTTATGCTCTGAGAGCCCGGGACATTAACGTGCAGCCCATGCGGACTGCTTTTATGAAAGATGCATCCATATTACGAGAAGCTTTCAGTCCATCAAACAGCAAACTGGGAGAAGCACAAGATGTTTACGAGCATAGCTCTGTGTGAAACCAGCACAGCATGCCTATCTGATTTGTAGTAATCGGATACCCAAAAAGATATTAAGAATTGTTTGGAAATAAAAAATAGAGCATGTTCTACAGACCAAACTTTGTTACAAATGGCAGCTTCAATGGAAGTATGGGAGATGAAAAAGGTATTTGCTACTGACGTGCATCTACTATAACAGAGTTTCCATAAATACTGAAATAAGGAAGCAGAGATTATGAGTTATTTTTTCCCTATTGTTATTCACTTGGCATTTTCTCAAGTGATTTTGGTGTGTTGTAATATCAAGGCACAGAAACAGAACAACTCCGAGTTCGCAATGAAATCATTCAACCAGTGTAAAGTTTTAAAGTGTTTTTGAGATCAATTAAGAAAATGCTCAGCATAAACAGAATCCACAGCAAAGCGAAGACAAGCATTTTACTTTCAGATCAAGCAGTTGGGATCTCTGCTGTATGCACTGCAGACCCTAAATTCAATCTTCAGTAGTGACTGTAACATTGGTGTAGGTCTGCCGCAGTTCATCCTCTGCAGTGTAACTCAGTGGGTCTACAGAAGGTCTGAGACAACTGGAGATGTATTATTTAAATCCTTTTTAATTCATTTATTTCTTCTTTGAAGTGTCTGGTAATAAAGCGAAAGGAAGTTCTAAAGCAATTCACTTTCCTCTGTACTCAAGCTGACAGGTAAACTGCTAGTGGTAGGAATAAACATGCAAAGCTTAAATGTACACAGTGCCTTGGTAATAGACAGTATCTTAAATTTACACCAAAATTTCCTTTCTATCTACTCCTCTGGGCTCTTAGGCTCTTACATATATTAGCAAAATTCACAGCATTAAAGTATGGATACACTCATCACACTACTGAATGATTAGATTTTACATTAACTACTGAAATTTCAAGGGTTTTTTAAGTATTCTTGACCATACTATTGCAACTACTCATAGCTGTTAGATATGAGTTGTTAGTTCAGGTTTATGAGCGTGGGCTTCAGCTAACACTAAAAAAATTGCAGTTATGTCAAGCTTTCGCCAGACATTTTACCCAAAGAAATTTCAGGTGCTCAAAAGTAATTGTCTCAGAGGTGTATGCTCGTTCTGTCAATCCAGCACTTCATTTCCATCAAAATTAAAACCCAGGAAGTTGATAGTTGATTCTGAAGATTATCCATGCCTTAATTATGCAAAATTCATCAACTGTCATTTTTTCCAACCATAAATTTACTACCCGCTTTCCTGCCTCTTTTACAACTACTGTAAATATTAAGATTACCCAGTTGTAAACACCTCCCAGATGATAAAAATATTTAGAAAGTGGGAGTACAGATGGAAATTACTATACAACCACTCAAAGGGATTTGTTACATTAACAAATACACATTAGAGCGTGTCTGCTACTTAAGCTTTTAAACGACATCTGGTACTTACTATTGCATAATGACCAGCTAGGACAATCTCTTTCCTCTGAACAGAAAACAAGGGCTGAAGAGACTACTGTTATTACAAGGGATGGTTGGTAGTGCTGTGCCGCTATACAAGAACATGGAAGCAACACTACTTTCAGAGATTTCCAGTTGATCGGCTTGATGGATGCCAGTAATAATCCATAATAATCCAGAAGCATTACAGTTTGTATCACAGAAACTATATGTGGAGGCTCCACCAAGGATGCATCTTCACTGTGATGTAACTTTTCTATAGTGCAACTCACATCCTTACCTCAGTGCTCTGTTGACTACTGAAGTAGAAAAAAAAAGCACCAGTGCCAGAAGAATACTAAGAAATTAATTGGCTTTCATTGAGGAGATTGTAATGAACACTGTCTACAGCAAATCTTCAAAAATACTCATTGAACGTGATTCCTAATTCTTTGCAGCTACTGTCCCAGACACCATATACTTCATGGAGTGGGGGAAGACACTGAACTTCTTTTGCAAATTAACATTTTCCTGAAATTCTTATTTTTCATCTGCATTCCTG